CTGTGTCCCGGGTACTCAAAACTGACATTCCGGACTGGATACCAATAATAGTACTTTTGACTATTGATACAAATTCAGTTTCCAATAGTCAATGCTAGTACTTTTTAGTTTAATTCACTTTAAAGTTATTACAGACACATAACTTGCAAACATTAGATTTTCCTTAAAACAGGATCGGTTTAAAACGAAAAAAATAACCGAAATATTTATGATTCTAAGTAATAGACAGAAAAAACTCTAATTTTATCTTCGTTGCTCTGCAGAAAAAACAACGGTTTTGTTATACATGCGTTGCGGGTCTAAAGTAGCATTTGGCCAGCTAATGTAAACAGTTGTATATTTCAATTAATTGTAGCAAACGCATCGATTGATTTTTTAGGTAAGGATATAGCTTATTGTTGCATTTTTGTTAATACTTTGACCTATCGACGGTATAATCTACAGTAACACAATCGTAATAAACAAAATTAATGAACCAATAAACAGCTGCTTATTTACATTATCAGAACACGAAGTTAAAGGCAGTGTTATGTAAAATGTCACATGACTACTGTTTCATGACTACTTTATAACACCATAGTATACTTTATACAATATAGCTTGTTAAGTTTAATCCATTATCTCACACCTACGATTAACTTGAAATCAGGATAACTACTCTTTTGAATTTTAATAGCAGAAAGTTTTTCAAGAAGTTAAGGCAGTACTATTATACATGTCACATGACTAACTTACAAATACAACTTTTTAGTCTACTCCTTTATCTAAAACCTACAGGGATATTGAAAACGATAAAACTCTTTTGAATTTCGATAACGGTTATATTTTCAGGGGGTTAAAGCAGTGTTATTCATTATGTCGCATGACTAGCTTATTTTTGCTAATTTTAAATCTACTGCTTTATATTTCACCTACAGATACCTTGAAAATGACACAACATTTTTCAATTTTGATGAAAGTATTGTGTTCGGGGAGTTAAGGCACTGACATTCAACATGTTGCATGACTAATTTGTTTTTAAAACTTTTGTATGTACTCCTTTATATTGAACTAACAGATATCTTGCAAACGGCACAAATATCTTCAATTATGATGACAGTATCGTTTTCAGGGAGTTAATGCAGTGTTACTCAACATGTCGCATGACTATCTTATTTTTACAACTTTTAAGTCTACTCCTTTATATCACGCTTGACGTTATCTTGTAAAATGCACACCCTTTTTGAATTTGGATGGCAGAACTATTTTCAGAGCGTTAAGGCAGTGTTATTCAACATGTCACATGACTTACTCATTTTTACAACTTTTGAGTCTACTCCTTTATATTACACTTAAAGATATCTTTAAAAAGGTACAAGCTTTTAAAATTTGGATATCAGAACAGTTTTCAGTGAGTTAAGACAGTGTTATACAACATATCACATGACTAACTTAATTTTACAACTTTAGAGTCTACTGCTTTACATCACGCTTTAAGATATCTTGAAAAAGGCACATCCTTTATGAATTTGGATGACAGAACTGTTTTCAGGGCGTAAAAGCAGTGTTATTCATCATGTCGCATGAGCATGATTAACTCAGTTTTACAAATTTTGTACGGTACTGCTTTATGTCACACATAGTGATATCTTGAAAATGACACAAAACATGTCAATTTTGATTAAAGTATTGTGTTCGGGGAGTTAAGACAGTGTTATTATCTTGCCACATTTTGTCGCTATGTCGCATGAGTAATTGATTTTTAAACTTATGAGTGCACTCCTTTATATCACACTAACAGGAAAACGACACAGCAATTTGCAATTTTAATGGCACTATTGTTTTCAGGGAGTTAATGCAGTGTTATACATCATATCACATGACTAACTTATTTTTACAACTTTAGAGTCTACTGCTTTACATCACGCTTTAAGATATCTTAAAAAAGGCACATCCTTTATAAATTTGGATTGCAGAACTGTTTTTGGGGCGTTAAGGCAGTGTTATTGAACAAGTCGTATGACTAATTTATTTTTAAAACCTTAGAGTCTACTCTTTTATATAACACTTGATGATGTCTTGAAAACGGCAAAACAGTTTTCAATTTTGATGACAGTATTGTTTTCAGGGAATTGGGGAAGTGTTATTCAACATATCACATGACTAACATACTTTTTACAACTTTTGTGTCTACTACTTTATGTCACACTCACAGATATCTTGAAACATGAACAACTTATTTTAATTTGGATAGAAAAACTGATTACAGGGGGTAAAGGAGTGTAATTCAACATGTCGCATGACTAATTTATTTCTAAAGCTTTTGGGTCCACTCTTTTATATCACACTTAAAGATACCTTGAAAACGAAACAAAAATTTCCAATTTTAATGACACCATTGTTTTCAGGGAGTTAATGGTAGCCTATGATGACTAGCAGAAGCTAACAAGAGCCGTTTTGTTCATTATATGATTTATTGCTGTATGACAATGTTTGTCTAATTTTTAGAATTTTGAAGCTGTTATTTTAAATATTGAAGTTTGCATAACTTAACCAAACTCAAATCAATTAACTTACTTAAATAACACGAGCGCTTAATATGTTCATGAAACATATTAATTTCACCTACATTAATTCGAGTACTCGTTCACATTATATAATATGTTCCCATACCACATTATCGCGCAACACATATGATAATGTTATCTTGTATTCATTGTACAAGCAGTTGCAGTGTAGCAGTGTGAATCACGCGTGGTCGGCGGGGAAGCGAGACAAAGAGAGAAGGAATGTGCGAGCGAGAGAGAGAGCGGCATTGAAGACGGTTGGAGATATTCCGAATCCTAGTAAACCATGTATTGAAGGAGCACGCAATGTGCTCTAGAATTCCCATTAGGAGCTCTCTCGTAGGAGCTCCTTAGAGAGTTCGCATTGGGTGCTTGATGCTAATAAGGGCGCCTAGTGTGTTCTGGGTAAAAGGGATATAAGAAGTTTGGGGAAATTCCCAATCCTACAAACCTGTTTTTCAAAGCTTAAATGACGGCGAGCTCCTAATGGGAAAGGTCCACAGAGAGGTGAAGTGGGGAAGAGAAGAGGGAGCTCGCATTGTGCTCTAGAATTCCCATTAGGAGCTCTCTCGTAGGAGCTCCTTAGAGAGCTCGCATTGAGCGCTGGATGCTAAAACGAGCGCCTATCGTGTTCTGGGTAAATATATATATATTTATCTAATATATACAATTCTCGTGTCACAGTGTTTGTCTGCAAACTCCTCCGGAACGACTTCACCGATCGTTATGAAATTTGGTGTGTAAATTCTGTAGGTATGCGAATCGGACGTAAACTATTTCCCGTTTCGAAATTCTTAAAAGGGCTCCGCCCCAGTGGCTCTGGAGTTTCCCATGTTAACCTTATGAGAAATGGAATTAATGAATCTTAACAGCTGTTTCAATTAAACAAGTTGGTTCTGTTCTATGATGTTCAATAGCATTGAAGTTACAAGGATTACCAACAGGGTGCAGCACTATTATTTCTTTTACATTTATGACAACAGCTAATTTGCAACCAAAAGGTGAGTGAGCGTAGCGAACGAACTTCAACCTGGAGGCGAGTTAGCGTAGCGAACGAGCTAACCTGAAGGCAAGTGAGCGCAGCGAACGAGCTCCAACCTAAAGGTGAGTGAGCGTAGCGAACGAGCTCCAACCCAAAGGTGAGTGAGCGTAGCGAACGAACTTCAACCTGGAGGCGAGTTAGCGTAGCGAACGAGCTAACCTGAAGGCAAGTGAGCGCAGCGAACGAGGTCCAACCCAAAGGTGAGTGAGCGTAGCGAACGAGCTCCAACCCAAAGGTGAGTGAGCGTAGCGAATGAGCTCCAACCCAAAGGTGAGTGAGCGTAGCGAACGAACTTCAACCAGGACGTGATTGAGCGATGCGAACGAGATCATCTTGAAAATTAAACGTAACGGTACTTTCTTTCCATCGGTCTGTCTTAGGGGAAACCTATAACTTAGGCGATACGAAGTTCGCCGGGTCAGCTAGTATATATATATATGTGTCCGTTAGCACGATAACTCGAGCAAAAATGATCCGATTTTGATGAAATTTGGTACAAACGTGTAAACCTACGTTTATTCGAACGAGTTCGCGATCCAGCATGATCGGACCATGGGAACGGGGGTTTACGGGGGGTTTTATGGGGTAAAAATAGGTTTTTCCCATTTTTGACCCAAAAAACATAAAATTTAGCAATTTCTTTCCAAACTATTTTGTAGAGCTTAAAAAAACAAATAATTTAGTATATTGAAGCGTTATTATGCGCCTAATGGTTAGGGAGAAAATTCAAAAAAATTGTAAATTTAAAATTCCCATGTTATTCTTATGGAGAATAAGTAAACTGTTGTAGTTTGCTTGTTTATGAACATATTTTGATAAAATTTGGAAATTTTGTTTATTTCTTACTAACTATTAACATTTTACAAAAAAAAGTTTTACCCTCCCTGATGCAGCAAACCTAAGTACTTGTTAAACTAATTCTATTTAAATCGGGAATAACTGTTATATATTTTTAACTAGACATTTCAGTGTAAATCAAATCAGTCAAAAGGAAATTCGCTTAGTCTGCAGGTTTGCTGCGGCAGGGGTATATTTTGTCTTGACCTTTGAGCTTTGGGTATCGATCAGCCACTGATTATAAATGTCAATTGCCTAGTACACTTCAAACATATTTAACAAAATCTTATACAATCAATATGTAGTACTGTATTTATACTTTGGAGAGTATTCACAATATTATAAATTGTACGACTCAATATGCATGGTACCGGTGATAGATTATGATTGGAAATCTCAATCATCCGCAGACCCAGTAGATGAATTTGAAGATGATTTGTGTGTCCAATTACAATTAATTGATCACCAGTTATTTGACATAATTAATTTACAATATGGGGGAAAATTACAGATTTAATGCAAATAAAATGTGGTAAGCCAAGAAATGAAAAATGATAGTTTAACTCTGTTTTCAGTGATTGTGCTGTGAAAGAGCCTTGTGAACTAGCCAAAGATGAGGAGCTGGCCAAGCGACTGTGGGAGGAGAGTGCTAAACTGACGGGAGTGGACTGGGATCCCTTCACAGTGCAGGACTCTAACAAATAACTGCCCTACAGATACCTACAGAAGAACTAGAGTCTTCCATACAAATCAACCTGAGCTGGACTACTGGGTCTAAAAATAGTTATTACAATGACAGTGGAAATACGAGGACAGTGTAAGTACCGTTTTAAAGGGGTGCCAGATTACCGGGGTTTTTATGGTAGTGGAATGAAAAAAAGACCCTCGGGTTATTGGTATTTAATTTAATTTTTTTAAAGTAGGTGGAAGACATAAAGAAATTTCGGTCACTATAGCATTGGAAGACGATTGTAGAGGTCCTATAACGTCCTATATCGTAAGAGTTCAAGGAAATAATTCACCACTAAACAAATAAGATCGCTACCAATGAATATGCTAATAATAATAACTATCAATAATCTAGTGCACTTAACATAAGACTGTTATTTTTTACCACTGCTCAATTTAATTAATTAAAATATTTAGAAAAAAAATAGGTTAGGTCTATATTTGGAATTAGATTTTCTTAGCCAAAGCCTATTGTTATGAATTTATTGTAGTTGAAAAAATTAAATTGTTTATAGTTTGATTACTTTTTACTTTTTGTAAATTTAAATAAATAGTCTATTTGTTAAAATTTAGATTAATTATTTTATAATTTCTGTGTTGTTATGTGTAATGTAAATATGTGTTTTTACAATCTTTGTCAAATTAAATAATTTACTTTAAAAACACTATTTGTGCTGTCGACATGTTTGAACATAAAAGTTGCATTTATTTCAATGTTAAGCAATTGCGGGAATCCCCGTCATCAGCACCCAACGTGTTAAGAATTGTTAAAAAACTGACTGAAATACAAAGGCTGTTTTATACTATTTTTATTAATTCACAATATTTAAAAAGTAATATGTTATATATATAAACGGTTATATACTTTTATTGTAAGCATATGAGTTTTCCTTTATTGTTGTGAATAATTAAATATTTATGAATAGCCATAATTTATTTGTCATGTAAAGGTATTCTTCAAAATAAACTATTTTCTTATATCTGTTTATGTATTTATTTCTCTAAAGAATTATTTATAATTTGAAATATAAATCTAGGAATATGGTATATCTCATATTTGAACGGACAAGCTTGCTATTTATTGAAACAAGGTGTTGGAAAATAAATTACAGAACAATATTGGTAAAGGTTTTGTTTCATATTTTATTTTGTAACTGAAAAGACAAACATTGGTTCTATTTACCGACAAAAATTCCATTATTGCTGATTAATTTAGTTTCTCAGATTCAACTACTTTTTTATCACTAAAAGCATTGTGCTCACAATCAGCAAAAAGCATATCTTAAAGTAGTCTGAAACATACTGTAACTTTTTTAACAAAACTGCATTTAAACACAAGATGTTACCGACAGACCACCACCGCGCCGTGCCGTGCAGAATGCATCATACCGTTCATAGCCGAACTGATCGTGGGAAATTGTTATCTCCATCACTGTCGCTGTCAAAACGTATCGTTTGTAGGTTAAATTTAAATTAATTTAACTATCATAACCTAACCAAGCTAACCAAACTTGCTGATAAAGAAAATATCGAATGAAGGTTTACTAATAACAAAAATAGTTCTGTTCATATATTAAAGTATTATATAGTTTTTTAATTATAAAATTTAACTATCATAACCTAACCAAACAAACCAAACTTGCTGATAATGAAAAAAATCTAATCAAAAAGTTAATGTCTCCGGTGGGTTTCGAACCGACTACCTTCGAATCATCAGCCCGGTGCCCAGTGCGCTATCCACTACACCACCGAGACCGAAGGCTGTACAACGTATCGGTGCGGTAATGGTGTTCGCTCGAACGGTGGTGGGTGGTGGCGGTCTGTCGGGAAGGGTTTCTAAACATAACTATTCCAACAATTAAATTTCTATTCTATGCTAAAACACCTTGTATAACAAATAACATACCATGTCTTGTCTGTCAACTATTAGCCTTTATGACCTATTATAGATCATAGATATTATAATAAAACATAGGGCCTAGATATTGTAATAGTTAACAATTAAAAAAATATATTAAATTTAAATTCTAAACCAAACCTCTATAGAAACTAAAGAAATTTAACATTAGTGAGGGCATCAAATGGTTATTAAATACTCAATATTGAATTGGTTGTCTGAGTCGGTGAATAGTTCTCTCAGCTATGAGTATAAGCAAGGAACAGACCACGCCAGCGGCTAGAATCATGAATGCTAACATGACAGATTCCAGGTCTACTCGAGCTACTTGCTTCTCTCCCACACACACAGGCCGATGCGGATGCCACACCTTGTTCTCTCGATAAAGAATTCCTCTCTCCCGCATCAGGTCGAATCTAAAAACATTTGAGTATCTGTAGATCTGATTTGATTATCAAGAATAGGAGTACAAACTTTGATTAGGTACCTTTGTAACCTGAAGGAAAAACAACGATTTTAAAAATAGGAAAGGAATGAATTTTGAAATATTTAGATTTATTTTTAAAACATACGGTATTATTGTTATTTATTTTATTATTAAGCGGCCAAATCAGAACTAAAAATAAAATATACGACTTGAAGTTCCTCAAGGCCAGGACCCAGGATTCCAGAACCCTGTGTCCTGTGTCAATGTGCCTGAGTTCTCCAAGTCTTCTTGTTCTTCAAGCTGAGTTCTTCCTCTCCATCCTCTGCAGTCCTCTACAGGCTCTTGTTTTCTGAAGCTCTGGGCGGGTCAATCATGGTGTCCCGTACATACTCTTAGTACTTTTCCCTTGGGTATTTCACTCAGCACTTTTCTGGTGCTTTGTGTCTGTTCCAATTGTTACAAGCCCATACCTTGACCTTTAAAAACAGTTCACTACCACCTAGTTACTTAAAGTACCTTTTAGAAAATATCCATATGCCACAACTACAAGTGCTGATCAAATACTAATAATATGCCACTTACCCACAAGATACAAAATCTCTGAAAGGTGAAGTTTTCTGAACAGGACATGAAACCAAATATGGAGGGAACAGTTCAATCTCGGTGAGTTCACATTTCTCGGGATTGCTAAATGTCTTGTCTATTGGTGGATACAACGTTGCATCTTCAGCATAAAATGCATAATTTTTAATCCTCATCCTTTCTATCCCCTTGGGAACAGCCATAAATCCAGTTTGGGTTCGGAGTTTCTTTCTGTACAGTTCGGCTGTTAAAGCATCTGTTGATTTCTTGAACAAAACACTCTGCATGTTATTGTATTAATTGGTAGCAATAAACTTATGATGACAGTAGATTATTATTTTGAGTGCAGGTTTTGTGTGAAGGTCTCAAACTAAATAATTGGTACAGTGCATTTAGTGTAAATTGGAACTCAGTCTTTGCAAAGTCACTGTAAAATGGAATGTGCCATCTAAAACATTAAAATGTAATCGGTCAACTTAAAATAATATGACAAAATACAATTGTTTGTGTGTATATAATTTGCAAATCCACAAGCATAGTAATTATTAGCATTAGATGAAAAATACTACTTGAACTTTGATACTATTGGTTGAGAAGACTGATTATGAAGACAATTTTTGTAGAAACAGTGTTTATACAGAGACTAAAAATAAATATAAATGTCTTCAATTAGAAGTGTTCCTCTGCTAAAATGTTTATTACAACTCAAGGCAAAACTTATGTAGGATTTGTTTATTAAAACATATTAAGTTTAATGCTTAATAAACTTCACTAAATTGTTTGCAAATCTAGCTCCTGTTTGTTAGTGTTTTAAGCTTTCTAAGTAGACTGTTTAATAATGTTAGCCAGAAATAAAATGAAAAACAAGATTGAATAAACTAGTACTCACAGTGTGTGCCACAGTCCAAAGTACAATTTCCTTTTTTTTTGCGTACTGAAATAGTCTATGTGACATTAAAGATTCTATAGCTTACAATAAGTCATCCTTATCAGTTTGACTCGATTAATCAGCCGGCGTATTTGACAGAAATTAACAACTTACATCAGCACACTCTGTTGGCGGATCAATCAAACTTTGTACATTTTCCTCTAAATCTGGTGACAACTTTAAAATAATCAGAATTCGTCGTGTCTAGTTCTATGTTCTATCAACAGTCACAGATGCTACTCACTGAGAAGTAATCCCTTGTGTAGGCAGTATTTTCCACCCCCATCTTGATGGGGCTGTCCAACAGCTGTCTGATGGTTCTGATACTCTTGGCGGGGGGTGTGAGGAGGGAGGTGACTATTGCAGCTCCGTAGAACGCATACAACACCACACTCAGCACCAGGAGGCACAGTGAGAGGATACGGACAGAAACACGGTACGAGGTACTGGCCAGCCCTGCCAACATAGGGATAAAGTGTGCAGTGTGTAATCTAGTCAATTGGTTATATCAGTAGAACAGTGAGAGGATACGGACAGAAATACAGTACGAGGTACTTGCCAGCCCAAACTAAAGACAGAGTTGCCAATTCCAACTGACCTTGTTGACTGATAGCTCCAATGACCAAGACAGCGCTGCCACTCCAGGACAGTTCAGTGTCCGGCCAATCAGACACCTCAAACTGATGAATGAGACGCAGCGCTGCCACTACGAGCACACATAATATCCCTGTGCAGACCCACACAGCCGGTGACAGAGGCATCACCAGTGCTTTGTACAGTCCCAGTGATTTAGGGTGGCGGAAAATGAAACAAGTCCTATAAACATTTACTGTATAAAACATACACTACCATGAAGTATACATCGCAGTCCACAATATATATATATTTTTTTATTTTACAAATAATCCATTGCATTTCTTTGCCAAATCAGGTCTTCACTAAATAATTTTACTACTTTCAAATGTTTCTAAGTAGCTAAAGGGTGTAGTAATGTATTTGTCCAACATTTTTGTGGGTGTATGTTTAAATGCTTGTAGAAACATTTTACAGTAAAAAACACAAACCGAAAATACAAATACATAGCCTAATTGAGAAAAATGATACAATGTATAGTTTTTTCTTCGAAGTTCAGCGTTGGCAATTGTGAGTTGATGTGTAAAAGGATCATTTTAGACAAATTATAATTGAAATAAGATAACAAAAAGTTAAAATTTTGTATAAATGGAGCCTGGTTTGGGCGTAATCTTGTCATGTTCTAGATTCTCCACCAAATCTCCAATTCATGAACAAATGACTATCTGAAACTTATGTTATATTATATCAGTGACAGAAAATTTTCCAAACTTTAAACAAAATTTAATAATTCTTACCTGAACTTCCAAACGGGTGCAGTAAAGTCCACAGTGTCCATGCGATGTTTGAACATTGTCGCCGGAGTCAGTCCGAGCTCTATCTCCCCTCTCTCCAGCTGACCTACCATCCCGTCATGTCCTCCGTGAGGCATCACGTAGCCCCAAGACTCTGTCACGTCAAAAGTAAATCTGTCGGAACAAATAATTGATACCTAATTAAATGATCTTTTAACTTAAAACATTAAATAGAGAGAGGTGCATTTTGTGTTGCCTGAAAATTTGTCTGTTTGTGGTCACAAAAACAACTGAATTGACTGGGCTGAAATTCCTCACTATAAGGTAGATCATGAAGTGGCCTATTCAAAATCCACTAACCCTGAGGACACTCAAAGTTTTAGGAAGTGAAAGAATAAAATGGCCTTTTTATTCTAATTTACATTGTTGATATTGCAATTATATTGTGAGTTATCTGCCACACAACCGATTGTATAAAGAAAAGATAATTATTGTGTAAGACTAAGTGGTAGAACTAGATTTGTGCAAGTGTGTTTCTACACTAGTGGCATGTTTTACATTTTGAAAGGGAGCGGTCCAATCATTAATTCATATCCCAATGACAAATAGTGTCTGAGTCTGGAAACCATATTGTTTCTATAATCAATGGTAGATGTGTAACTTTTCCAGCATTTTAATAGGTTATTTCTGAGACTACACTTACAATGCAATAGGTGCCCTTTTACTCTTGAAAGACTTATGTTTTTAAATATTAAATTGAATTTGTTGATGACGCAACGCATTCATTAAAAACGGCTGTTTTTGCTCAGGTATGACAAAAATGCATTTTCATACACTATTTTGTCTCTTGTCAATAATTCACTATCATTCAACTAAAGGATCAGTTGTTCACAGTAATTTCACATAAACTGTTACAAAGAAAGTTCCTCAGCTTCATTGAATCTATGAAATCCAACTCTAAAAACAAATAAAATACCACTTTGTATTTTTTTTTTTTTTTTAAACTAAGCTATTGCATTTCATTAGAAAAAACATAATACACTATAAATAATTCAACATATGACTATGATTTTCAATCAAATATAAATGTTTAAAAAAAAAACAAATAAAATGCTTGCGGCAAAGCACTGAAGGATATTGCTATTTTAATTATCATTTGCCCCTCCGCTAGATCAAAAGTTTGAGAATGACACCTCAATCAAAAAAATCTCATGAGTACGAAGGATGGAAAAGGAAAGTTAAGTTACAGAAAAACCCTTGTTGTATTATTTATATAGATAATTATGAATGGAAAAAACACATCATAAATGTATATAGTCTACTAGTACAAAAACAAAATTAACTTACGTAAAGTTATACATGTCTTGAAGTTTTAAAAACAAAATGTATGCAAACCGAGATACTGCGTCTAAATGTGGTGAAATATTATTATCAAGAATCCTTTCTTCTGCATTCGTGGAGTTTGTTTCAAATTTTGTTAGCTGTAAAAAACCAAATGTAATAATATTCTGTATTAGCTGTACTATATACCTATATCCCATTTTTAATGTGAATGCTGTAAATTTACAGAATGTCAAAGATAAAGTTACATCGCTTTTCTTCAAAATAAAAGATGTAAAACAGTTACTATTTATTTGTACTGATATGCTAGTACTTCTGAATGTTGATGACTGATTATTATAATTGTGAATGAATGAATGAATGAATGTTTTTTTTATTTCCACATAATATATACAGAAAACAATGACACACTTTTTAATACAAAATAATAAAAAATATAACTAAGACGAAGAATAAAAAAGAACATTTCTGTATAAATTAAATTAAATTGATTGTATGAAATACAACAGACATAGGCAAGTGCTGCCTGTGCGTCTGCTGGGTTGCTATTTAAATATTTATTATTTTGTTAATGTAATACACATTGAACTGAATATTGTGTGAAGAACATATTTCTCAATGAACGAGGAAGTTATCTACTAGCTAACATACACCTGTTGACAACAGCAAACGTCAAAACAGCAAAACACAATAATATACAATTGGAGAATATGTGAAGCACATTAAAAACATCAACTACTTACAACCACAGTTCCTTTAAGTTTTATTGCGTTAAAGTTTGAACGTTGTCTCACTTTAGTTCCATTGATCTTTACATCAAATCCAGTAGATTTGTTCCATGTCGCTCCAACTTGTTTGATAAGAGGAGATGAGTAGTTGACTTTGTAAAGGTCGTACAAGGTCACTCCAGGAGTTGCCAGAGAAACTTCACTGGTCAGTCCGAAGTTGAGGTCTTCCAGTTCATTCAAGGTAGTGTTACTTTCACTCAAAATCAACCAGGAATAACTATCATTCAGCATCCTCATTTGAGAACCCTGAAATCCCAATATGAGAAGCATGTAAAAATAAGTCATTTTAGATTAGAAGATATCTTTTAGAAATTTAATATTTTCCTTCAAGGATCTCAATATCCTGGTTCAGCAGACAGTTGTGAGTCTAAACCTAAAGTGTTATTTTGTTTTTGCAAAATGAAACTTTTACCATGTTGAGTTTACATAAAAAAATCTCGTAAAATCAAATTTGTCTTCCAACTATTCTACAAATTTTAATTGAAATCTTTTTTGCTAACTACTGGGACACCGATTCGCCAAATTTATTATTTGGTGATTAAAAAAATATTAACATATTTGATCTATTTGTTATTATTTATTTGTATCCCCGATGAAGATTATTCTCATACATTTTTATCACATAAGGATTATAAAAGTTATACTTGTTACATTTTATATTTTCCATTTTTGTAATTTAAAAAAAAATTTATGACATTTAGAAAATTACATGTAATTGACGTAATATTTAGAGATCTTATGAAACAAAAACTAGAGAGTAAAACATGATTGATTCATTAGCCATGATAATTGTTATCTGTCAAACTGGTGTAGTCTGATAAACAATATGTAAATTTGCTCGTAGTCAGTTTCTCATAGGTTAGAGACATGAGGGATGTGGCTTGTCCGGAATGTCGTCTGCTGCTCCGGGACCAAGGTCCCTCGGGAGACCCCTGGGAGCTTCAGGTTCAGTGTCCTGGATGCTCCTCCATTTATCACATATCCTGTACGGTAATGGAATCAGACCGGATGTGGCGTAGGCTTGGTAGATATGTTGAGAAGTGGAAATGTAACAGGTAAAAGTGTTTTATAAACTTTACTGGAGCACACGTAGAAAATCTTTTCAGGGGGTAAGCTGGTGTCTTATGGAAGTAGAGAAGAAGGCTCTTCCCAATTAACAATTTTAATACAAAAGGCTTTAAAAAATATTTTTCAGGAGTCCAAAAGTTGGAACCATTTTCAAAGTAATACGACATACTGATTTTGATTAAAATCCATACAGTATGTAGATTTTGTACAGGTAAAAAAATTAAATAATAAAAGATGGAAAGCTAGACAATTGTTGAAAATAATTAAATATACAGGAGAAAATATGACATGAAATCTGTATACTAATCACTTAACTGTTGCAAAGGCTTTTGTCTGTTATTCTTTGTCCTGACAATTTGCTCATGCTGCTGATGGCGAACGTTCAACAAATTTCTGTTATAACAGTTATTTCTTATGAGGTCCCTGTTTAGCTATTTTAACTTTTTTTTCTCTTTGATATTTTAATTTGCATACTTAGGAAGATTATAGTTAAAATCAAATCAAATCAATTAATTATCTTTATTTACTTTATACATTTTACATACATGAATAGTGTCAAAGCATACAAAATTGGTTATACATTTTAATCTAAACGACATTTGATACAATTTGACAATTATTTTTGAATGGATAGCTAATTCATTTTTGATTTAGAAACTCATCTATACTATAGGGAGCCAGATTAATTAAGAATGATTTTAGTTTCTTCAAAAAATTGGGTTTGTTTTGATATTTTTTTAGTAAGGCAGGCAAACATCTAATGAATAAATTGCCGATATACGAAGGCTTCATTTTTGAAAGTTTCAGCCGATGATGACTTTTTACAGTAAGGTTTTTCCACCTTGTATTGTATTCATGGGATACTTCAGTGTTTTTATCTTTATAAACATGCTTAATAGTTTTAAAAATATACAAACCATTCACTGTACAAATTTTAATTTCATTAAAGTACTTTTTCACCGACTTCTTATCCTTAAATCTTTCAATAACTCTAATAGCCTGTTTTTGTAGTTTTAAAACCTGTATCAAATTTTTCAAATTTTTTGTGCTGTCCCACCATAAATTTTTGATTCCGTAGCCAATATGACATTCTATAAGCAAGTGGTATATCAATTTTAACACAGCTTTATCACAGAGATAAGCCATTGATCTCAAAACAAACAAGCCTGAATTAATTTTACCAACCAAATACTTAATATGTTCATTCCAATTTAGATGTTCACCAATTATCAAGCCTAAAAATTTGGTTGATTTCACTTGATTGATCGAGTTATTATTTAGAGTAATTTTAGGGTTTTGATCTTATTTGTATGAAAGAGAACAAAATTGGTCTTGTTTGTATTGAGTGTTAAATTGTTGTTTGTTAAGAATTGTTAAATATTTTTGAGCTCCAATTCAGTAGAACTTTTAAAGTCAAAGTCATCTTTATTGTCACATAACGTTTTTTTTTATGCTCTGGCACAGCCAGACAAAACAGGTGACATTGTCAAACTATACTAAAATAAACTAGCTTATGGGTAAAAATAAATACATAGTAACAAAACAAACAATTCACATTGATTTGTCTTCGAAAAACAAAAACTGATCCATACTATAATAATTCTTTTCCAACAAAAATTCTAAATTTTTTTTCTTCAAAAGATACTAATCCTATTATTGATTTGTAGTACCCAGGCAAATTGTAAAAACTTTTTTTACCCATATAGGAAGGTGTCCTTTCCACAAGAATTAATTTAATGATTTCATATTAATATCAGTAATTGAATTACCCTAAGTTTCAAGATTGATATCATCAGCAATATCAATGTATATATTTAATGTACTGGCTGACGATCAGTCAATGCATTTGGGAGGTTTTTAATGTAGCATATAAATAAAATAGGGCCCAAAATAGATCCCTGAGGGGCCCCTAGATACATTTGTAGTAAATCTGATTTTGTCTTCTGTATCCAATTGTTTTTTGATAAATAAGAGAGTTCTACAAATTGATAGCGATCCTCCAAATATGAAGTGAACCATTTATGTGCAACACCCTTAACGCCCATTATCTTAAGATTGTTTAGCAATACCATATACAGTAAATACATTGTCAAAGGCTTGCGACATGTCCATAATCGTTTCAGCAGTATTTAAGCAGCCTTTATCAACACACTGATACATATTCTTGAGTGTGGCAGATTTCGTGAAAATATAATAATAATATCTATGGTTCTTACCGTCAACGCAATCAGGGATGTCCCGCAATCCCTGATTGCGTTGATGGTAAGAACCATAGATATTATTATTACACTGATACAGTTTTTTTTTACATATTGAGCTATCCAATACCTTACATAACATAGTTGATTATCTAATCGTATTCAAATGGAGTCCATGGGCTTAAATTAACTTAATTAATTTAGTAAAGCAATAATGTTGACTATAGGTGCTTAGGAGAGTTGACATTTTGTTCAACAACATATTGCACACATCTAACATTTAGCACTAACTAAATGTCGTTGGATGGTTACCAGTTGGTCTGTAGTTGAAAAAGGTTTCTAATTTTAGTCTTTTAGTTAATAGAGCCTACACAGAAGAGAAATAGCAAACAACACTCAAATAAAAACTGAACACCTCTTAACATATTTTATAACGACCACCTTGTAGGGAAAATCCTGTAAACAAATCTTCAGAGAGTTGTTGTCATAGACTTATTCATTCATTCATTAACCATAACCTATTGATAATTTTAAACAAAATATAAACTGTATAAAAAATCCACACATAATATGATCATCTCTCCTTGTCCTTTGGAGAAATAAATGTTCTGCATAAGCCTAAATACTGCTCAAATCATTTTCAGATATGGTAACATATTGTATGTGTGTAGGTGTTTCATTGACGGATCAGAAGAAAGTGTGGCTTTCTTGGAATACATTCAAAAACTAAAGAATGGAAGTGAAAGAACACCAAACTCCGAAAATTCATCAAGATCAAAATTATGGCCAGACCAATCTTGTGCAGAGTGCTTGAAAGAACTTCGTGATGAAAATGGCCGTCTTAGCCGAAGAGTTCAGTGTTTCGATTGTTTAGACGTGTTTCACTTTTCCTGTACAGAGTTTGGAGACGAGAATATTTGGCAACGAGTTGGAGACTATAGAAACAGGTGGAAATGCAAAAACTGTTCGGGCTTTGACAGTGACAGTGTTATTTTAAGGGAAAAACTAAATGAAGTGAAACGGTCTTTAGACATACCAGTGAATATATAGTTTAATATTAAGTGGTAAAATAAGCTTTTGTTAAGGGGAAACTCAAAGGAAGATAAAAAATTAATCAATTACCTTTGTTAATTTCTATTCTGTGACCTCCAGGGTCTAATCTTCCTCCAAGGTATTTTGAACTACATTTTGTTAGTTTGGTCTCCTTGCTGAGAGCGTTTATTATAGGCTAGCTCTGATCTGTTATACAGGGTGACACAATGGAACCGGACGTTTTTTAAATAAGTAGTACACAGTAGTTAAAAGGAATAAAATGGTTAATACGGTATACATTGAGGCAAACATTTGCCATTTGTTACAAAACAGTCATTTTTTGAAAATGACGTCATGCATATGGTGGTCATGTACTTATCTACAAATGTTCATTCTGGTCTGAAAATCATCTGAAATTCGGGTCAGGAGGTCTTGTTCAATGCCATTGATATCTTCTGTGGTTTCTAACTTCAAATCCTCTAGAGTGTATGGTTTGTGAGCATAAACACGCTCCTTAAAATACCTCCAAAGGAAGTAATCACTAGTGGACAAGTCAGGTGGCCACGGTATGTCACCAAATCGAGAAATCACCTTGTTAGGAAACATTTGCCTCAAGACTCTCATTGATTGGTCTGCAGTATTGGCTGTAGCACCGTCCTGTTGAAAATAACCCCTTCTTCCTACACTAACTGTATTTTATAAGGATTAAACTTAAGATCTCTCCGAAGAATTCCCCTTACCGATTCACAGTTCATGTTCAACTCTTGAGCATGTTTTCACGCAGACCTGCTTGGACTCCTTATCAATGCTGCTCTCACTCTGGCGATGTTTTCGGGTGTTCTCGAAGTTCTACCAAGGCCTGGTGGTTTCTTTCTCGTTATATTCCCAGTTGTTCGGAACCCAGAAACCCATCTTAATAGCGTATTTAGGCTTGGATCA